CTTTCTAATTGAACAACTCCAGGTGCCCAAACGTTGGCTGCACGAAGCCAAGGTAAAGCACCCTTTGGTATTTTGTTTGTTGCGGTGTGCCAAATGGTTTTTTGGCCATGCTTCTGGGCATTCGGTCTCGTATGTACAACTCATTTGAAAAAGAACTGTCACGTCGAGCGGTTAAAGTAGAATTAACTACATTAAACACTGCCTTACTTTCCTGCTGCAGGCAAGGATATCACCCCGAATAATTACCATTTTTGATATTGTGCAGCCTATTTTCGTCACCCTGCAGTTGTTACTTTCTAGTCGGCACAAATACTCCTTATCTGTATTGGACAAATCTATTTTTTTCTTCACCACTTCTACCGCGTATCTTTAAAGTGGTGACTTGGCGTTTGCTGCCCATGCCCCTTTTTCGGAAAGTAAAGTCACAGGCTGGTGATTAGGTAAAAGTGGCTGGTTGTTTATAGAAGCTAGAAGTCTTCTTCTGAACTTTAGGGTCCACACGCAAGTCTGTCGAAGTGCGATAAATGGCAAAGCCCGACCAAATCCAAAAATTAGCAGTGGATGTTAAGCCGAGTAAAGGCGGCATGAATAAGTAGCCGCACCGTCAGAAGAAAACAACAAGTGGAGAGGTTGCAGTGCTTTTTCAAGACAACGTACAAAAGCGGGGAATCAATATGCACTCTATAGAGTTCTCCGATTCCAGCATTATATTACTTTCCTGTCTTGAAGGTTGCCTTTCAACAACTTCAATGTGCACCGCTTTATCTTATACTATCGCTACTCACTCTTCGGAAATTTGAGACTTCTAACTACGAGTCGAGTTCTATTTTCCTTTTACAGTGTACTTTTTTGATCCCAGGACATCCTCTTTTTAAAAATTATTGACCATAGTGCGTATGCTGTAAATCATTCTATCTTGTATGTGAAATTGTCAGCCCTGTGTCTGAGGAACAGCATGACAGATAGCCACGCACACTGCCTCAATGAATTTCTCAATGAGTCGTGTAGGTTATCCATTTAGCACGCGCTTCTCGGCACGCTGTTGTTAAGGCGCAGATTTGCACCGAAATTCGTCCGATCCACATACATTTTTATCTCCTTTACGTAATCCCTATTACCACTTACCTATTCTTGATTTAATAAATTGTTTGGGTTTCGAACCCAAGGTAACTAGAAGAACAAGGTTGCCACTTCTTGACAATAATTCTGACTGCGAGATCGGAATGAATTACTGACCCCCAAGATTAGTGCCCGGTTGTCTTTTTTTTCGGATAATCCAAACGATTATATTTTCACCTTGATCGGTTGTAATTGCGGGGGTGAGCTTAAAACTGCATTTTGACCAACAATTTTTGGATTCTGTGGAGGCTTCTCGCGCAGCCCACCATCTGCTAAATTTAACTTCGATTTATTTTGCTGTATATAGGCTTGTCTTGCCCGTTCGCGATTGGCCGGCTTGCCCTTTTCAGCCAAAGCCCGGAGGCGGCGACACCTGTTTGCCAGCCTGGAGGCGGCACACTGGTTGGCTGCAGACCACGTAGATGCCGCTCACGATGTCTGTCTTCGTCACTTACTTCCCGACTTCATTTTGCATTCGGAATCTTCAGCCACTCTGCTTCCTACATCAGCTAACTTTGGTAAATCTAAAGCCAGTGGACTCCTGGCCTCAAGGTTGCTTAGCGTTTTGAAACCATTCATCCAGTTGCCGCCTGAGAAATCTCCATCCTCTTTCAACACAGGCAAGTCTGCCCACCCTACTTCTCAAATTTAACTAAACTGTCCTAATGTATTCGTTAACCTCGTAATTCCTTTTAGACATTTGTTTTGTACGTGTACTTCGATATCCGGTGCATGCATGTTCAGTAGCTGTTTTATCTCATGAAATATTTACCGCTGAACAAGTTAATTAATATTGACTGTCGTGAAATATAATCCAAAAATATTGCAGTCACGTCAGGATGCCAGCTTTCAAATAAGTTTCCTTCCGGCCGCCGACAAGCACTAAGTTCGATAATGAACGCGATCCTTTCCCATGAAGATTCGGTTAGCTAATAAATTCAAATCTATTTCATTAGAAAATATGCGCAAAGGTATTATTCCTCGTGCCTATTTGTTAGCAAATTAAGGCTTCTTCGAATGCTATAGTTGAATACGGCGTCTATTTCGGTTTTAAAATGTTCTAATTACCAAATAATTTTGAATCTACCTTGCCGTGACGCGTGTTTAAGGTTTCCAAACTACATGTTGTATACACCAACAAAAATCACACCCTTATGAGCGCTATTTCAATGGCTTCGTATAGTGCTCAAAAGTTTGCTGTACCTTTGTATCATGTTGATTACTTTGTATGCAGCATTTATATCGCTACAGATATGACCGTTTATGAATGCAATTTTCACCTTAAAAATCTCATAACTAGAAATGTTTAAAAACAACAAGATAGCTTTATTCAAATGTAAAGTTTGCCTAATACTATAGTTACTATCAAACGAACGCCACAAAGGATGTTGTTGTGCATGTTTTATATTAAATATATTGCCATTTATTATGGTGTCGAGAATTTATAGAAAAATGCCTACTTCTTAAGTAGCCTGTTCTTCTTGGCGTGGTCATGGTAGCCAGCCGTGACTGATCGACCGCGCCAGCCACCTACCTCCCCCATCTTCGGTCTTCTTGGCTTTGTCTTGGCCCGGGTACAGGTGAGGGAGTGGGGATAGTGTGGGGGAGTAGATACTCCGCAAGTCTACTTTTACAGCGCAACTCAGCGCTTACCTACAGCATGCTGAAGCTCGTGGTGGACATAGTCGAAATCGACTGTCGAACGGTAGGCAGCCGAAAGAAATATCATTCAAAAAGCCGGCTCATCTACTCTTCAAGTACTATATGGGCTTTTGCCATGACGCAAAGCTGGGATGATAACTCATACAGTGCCCCTTGGTAAGACCATTTTGACTAAGTTAAGCTTGCTTCATCTAGTTACTTTCAAATTTCATCTTTGGCCTAAAGTCTAGCAGTTTTTTTACTCATCCCGGGGCTTACTCCAGCGAACCGAAATCCAACCCTCGATCTCCCCGCCAGTGGTTCGCGGACAACGTGGGTAAACTCACGGCAAACAGAGGGCCATGGCAGGTAACACCGGGGACGTCATCTGTACCACGATTCCCAAGAAATTTCATGGACAATACAAATATCACGGATCTAAATACTGCTACAGCATCCCCGGGAAGCGACGCGCTCCGTGGTCGTCTGGTGCCCGGAATGTCAAATATGCAAGCCAGTACCCTAAATTCGCGACACAGCTTGAACATCGGTTGCTGGAATGTGTGGACATTGCTTGATGCCGGACGTCGAGCACTCCTAGCACGCGCATTGTGGAACTATAAGGTAGACGTTGCCTGTCTGTCAGAAGTTCTTCTCCCAGGCTCTAGAACGGGAGAAATCAAGGTCACACAAGAGGATGCTGAGTACGTGCTCCTCCACAGTGGCCCACAAACGAACACAGCACTGCATGGGGTGGCAATAACA